TCTTCTTTAAATTGCTCTGTAATAGCAGATTTAGATGAATCCAAACAATTTGACACTAATTGTCTTTCAGAGTCAGTTAATAAAGATTTGGTTTTGCTGTAGCTACAGGGCAGAGATCAGTGCTGCAGATACAGGGGGGTGGTCAGTGCTATAGATACAGGGCACAGGTCTGTACTGTCTTTTCGATTCATATAATTGTAACAATAATGATATTATTAATATCAACTTTATTTTCATAGGTTTAAGGGAAGTCCAATTATTTAGCATTAATTGTGTGACTGGTGGATTATAGGTTAGAGTAGCGGGCTTGTAACTGGTCTCTGGTTTGATCCTGGGACCGACCACGACTGTGGAGCCCTTGAACAAGAAAACTTAACCTCCAGCTGCTCCAGTGAGGCGGCCATCAGATCAAACTGCCTTGGATTGTAACCAAGTAAAAGATCAGAGTAGCTCCTCCACTGTTAGACTGGTTGTACTGGGCAGCATCCACTTATTATATGTTGTCTGTCCTCCAGATGAGAACCTATCTGTCTGCTGGCAGCACGTCACGGCGGACCTGGTCTGTCAGAGTCCTCTGCTGAGGGCTCAGGTCACCTTCATGGACTGCTGCTGCCTGTACGGGGAGGGTTGGGGGATGGACTGTGCCCTCTGTCCCTCCACCGACTCTGGTAAGTATCTCACAGGAAACCAAAAACACACAAAGAGGTAATTAATCAAACCTTTTATTAAGATCAGATATATCCAAAGAGGAAATAAATCTTAAAATTGGGTCTTTCAAAACAGGAGACGTGATCCTAATGCTACAAAACTTGGTTTGTAAATCAAATCCCACCTAGAATCCACATCAAATGTTGTTTTTGGGTAGATGGAGATTAGTTTTGAATCTCCATGGATGTAGTGGCCGAGGTTATTATAGTACAATAAAATTTAACTGAAAACTAAAACTAGGTATGAAAAAACATTTTAGTTAATGAAAAATAAAAATAAATAACTTTGTACTTACAAAACTAAAATTATATGAATATATATATAGGAAATGTATTTAGTTTTAGTCAGTTTGAACCTTCTTTAATCTTACCACTGACAAATACCCCCATATTTATTATAAAACTAACACTTAAACTAATAACTAAACTCAAACAATTAAAACAATAATAAGGGATAATTCTGGATAAATCTGGATAATTCTGATCTAGATTAATGGTTTTGGAGACAGTATTTATTGGGAAGATATAACCGCGTGTCGTCAGTGAATTATATGACCCAGTAGAAACATGTAGAAGGAGAATAGGACCCCACAGATTACGTCTGATGTGTTTATATTATTAATAATGAGATTATGAAATCTGGATAATTCTGATCTGGATGCAGTGTTTTGAAATACTGGAACCTGGTAACAGCTGCAACTTTATACGATGATCATATGTGAGTTCTTATGTTTACAGCCAAGTGGATTTAAAAGATGTAAAATAATATTTAATGGAAAGTACATTGTACTAAATGCACGACTTTCATGGTTTTTGCCTTAATTTGAATGCCCAGGATAATTTACAGCCTACTTTTTTTAGTGGATAAAACTGATAAAAACCTCTTTACTGACATAAATACCAGTGTGTTAAGTTTAAACATTTTTATGAACTAATAGTTTTCATTAATCCAGATTTCAGGAGGTGCTGAGAACCTCGACTTCCAGTGTCTTTACATTAATTGTGTTTCTCTCCATCTGCAGAGGACTATGCCAGTCTGTGCAGTTCGTTTCCCGCTACGTTTACAGAGAGTTTTCCGGACTCCACCGGACCCGGAGCTGGACGAGGAGGAGCCGGAGTGGGTGAGTAAATTTGCTGTTTTTATTATTTTATTAAATATTTATGTCTCCTTTATGTTTCTAAATATCTCCAACGTTTGTTGTCTTGAAGTTTATTTATCTCCTCCCCTCCTCAGGACCTCCATACTTCCCTTCCTACGGTTTGGAATCCTTCCCTCCAGTTCCTGGCAGAGACTTCGGTGGTTCAGACTATGACGATTACTCTCCAGCAGGGGGCAGCAGGTCTGGCTTCAGAGGGAGGACTCCCACCACCTTCAGCCTACCGGACGGAGCCTATGGCAGGCCGGAGTACAGGTGAGGAGGACACACCTGGTTTAACCCTGCTTACAAATCACACATGTAATAATAATAATAATAATTTGGCTTTAAACTTAAGGTCCTATCTTTGTAGGGGATCCTTTCCGATAATGCCCTGGGTCGACACGGACAATACAAAGATCCTTTCTTCAAATTAGGGTTTCATTTCCACCAGGGACAGAGTTGCGTGATAGTTGGAAACACTAAACAAAGACGTTCTTTGGGGATTTTAGTTTGTTTCTGGGGTCCAGTTTAAAGTGTGTTTTGCATTGCTAAAAATTAAATTAATTTCCCATTATATAATCTTAAAAAGGAGCAAATAAAAGTATGCATTATACAGAATTTTCTGCCATAGTGTTACATTATTAAATTATTATAAGCAGTGCTGAAATGGTAAATGTACATTTACCCATTACTGGTTGGACGAGACCATATGGATTAATAAAATATGTATAAATAAATGTTATAAAATTAAACTAACCAACAGCTTTATACAAGTACATTTAATCATTTTAATTGCATTTCTCAATATTTTCAAAAGTTTTACAAACCAAGTAACCAATGGAAAAGATAAATA